TTACTTAGTAGATTTTATTTGAAAAATTAGTTCATCCTTAGCGCCATTTAACTACATCCTTTACGTGGTGGTCCCTTAAGTAGGTACCTATTTCGTATGAATATCTTGAACACTTAACGTCGCGGCAAATGTGTCCTTTTGGGTGATGGACAAAAAATACCAAAACGGCAGAATCGTTCTGAACGTTGATTAATTCGTTATTTTGACATGCAACGGTGTATAAGCTATTAGCTAAACTGCTCTAATGACTGTGCCGCGATGGCATATTAGTGGCTAACACATGTGCGTTCTATTATTAGAGATTTCTTCTTCGGTAATAAGAATATAAGAAAAGATCTCATTGCGCCTGTCCGCCTTAACCGCATATTAATGTGGCTCTCACGGTGAGCTCCTTGTAAAACACCACTAATCCATGTATTCATCCATCCTGGCGACGGATGTTCTCTAACCCTTAATGCTACTAAAAGAAAATATAGTCTACGAGTCGCTAATGCACTTTTTGAGTACAGAATTGAAGGTAACAAATTAGAAGTACGAAGCTTTGGTGTGGACTTATTCTAAATTTTTTAAATAAAAATCATAAGTCCGGATAGTGTTTAAGGGAAGGAAGGTGGTTACAGTGAAGAATGCTGCTGAGTGTCAAAAAAAGCCACAGAAATAAAAAAATTATTAATAAAGGCTCTCACGATCGAAATTTGGGTTAAAAGTCAAAATGAACTGTTAGGTTCAGACGTTTCGTCAGCAGCCGTGACTGACATCTTCAGTAGCACTTCGTCGATAACGTGGGCGAAGTCTTGGCAGCGACTGTACCAAACAGTTGATTTAGACCACTACCCTACAGTCCGAATCATAATTCTATCAAAAGCATTACTGTCTAGATTTGAGGAAAAACTTAATTTCTCCGTAACCCATAAGGATTTTTTCTGGATCTATCCCTCCATGTCACTTTGTCACTTTCGGCAACAGCGAACACCCGTGGTAAAAAAAAAACTGTACTACTCCTTAGAGTTTAGACGTCGACTCACAATATTCGTCTAATTTTCTAGGTATTTTACACCTTTTTTTAATCTGTTAGTTCTACCCCTTTGTTGCTGCCGCCAAACGAAAGAGTTGGTCCATAAACAAGTGCAAAAGTTTGCTTTATCCTCGCCATAACTAAACGCAGTGAAATATCGAAGGGAAAGATCAACTGCACTGTTTGTTAAATGAGGGAAACCTATTATCCTTTAACTTAATTTTTATTTCCCTTTGTGTTATGCCAACTAATAGAAAACAAAATAATGATAACGATACGAAGTAAACATTGTGTATTAATAGTAACTCACTGTGGTTACTTACTTCAGCCTTGTTGGTTAATTTTTTGAAGTCAAAAGCGCACCGTGGGTCCCGTCAATAGTTCGTCCATCACGGAAATCAAATCTTCTTTGAGTTTGTCGTAAGTCTCTCCCAAAATCAGTCCCTGAAACTTACAGTTGCAGTATCACAATCAAAAACTTTTTTGTGATGTAACCACTACAGTTTTCAGAATTTTCTTCTGCTACAAGACATTGTTTCTTTCCAAATTTCATGATTCTGAGACAACGGGAAGTATCCCATAGGCTTTAATTCCCTTTCAAGTATCAAAATATGAGGCACATTTATACGGGTCGTATCTTTTGATTCAGTTGATTCAGAAGTTTGGTTTTTTCAAAACTCCAAGGGCTTGCACACCTGAATATTTGATATTAATGACTACAAGGGATCCTTTTTTACTTTTGAGGTATGGAACCCTACTACAAAGATCAAAAACAGGAAATAAACCAAACATAAACCAAATGGTAAATGTAACGTCATTTTTGCAGTTTGACCCATAAGGTTATCAACCGATTAGTACGGTATGTTTCAATTTAAATACGAATATTATAAATGTGGAGGAATTACACCTGCATTGGCATTATTTTTTCACTGTAATAACCTTACAGATCAGGCGCAACAGTTTTGCTTTGCACCAAACACTGAGTACATATATGTAGTTAATTTTCCGAGAGCAATAATTGTTGGAGCACTTGACACCGGCGCAGTGCATTTCTTAGAAAAGTGGTTGGTGTGTAGAAAAAATTGCGAAAAGGGACCTCCGTTTTATTTGTTACACTATGTCCGTTTTATGGCACATGAGCGAAGGTCTGTTGACTTTGCTTGTTCCTAAATGCGCATGAAGGGTTTATATCACGTTAGACCGGTGTCACGTTCACCTTCCTGGTAACGATATAAAATACTGAAACGCATTTCCCAATGGAACAATTCATTACCATACGGGAAATGCACCGCTAAACACGACTGTTATTAACTCATACCAATAGACCGATACTCGTAAAAAGTCTATTACTGTATTTAACACTAATTACACTCTTGGTTGATTCACGGTAAAGAGGAAGTCTGCAGTTCTTACCAGAAATATAATTTCGAAAGTCTACAAATCGCTATTAAACTATTGTGTTACTTGATTACTTTTATTGTCTCCTTTAGGGTGTTTGTAATTATTACTTATTAGGCACAGAGGGTGGTGTTACAGGCGGATGATGGGGATATCTTAGATAGAGGAGGCATTAGAAAAAATAGAACAGAGAATTATGAGGAATGGAGGTAGACCTAGATTAGATTACTGATCACAAATAGTTAAGCATGTGGAATATGTTCTAGTTTTAGAGAAATGTAATGATTGCTAATCAGGCTTAGGACTGACGACCTCACAATCCCGATTAGAATTTATAAGGGGTATTCCCCCATGTAACGTGCGGACCTAGTGTGCCTAATGAGGGGCATGCCGATATAGGGATTTCCCCATAGATTCCTCATGAAAATACAACCAGAAAAAAGTGGTGATACTAAAATGAGGATTGTGTTATTGGTTTTTCATATGGGTCTTAAGGGGCATATCTAACACATGTATAAACTTACAATTAAATCTACCTTATAGTGGTTCGATGAGGCAAATCCGTTTCAAAATACTCTCGGTAAAATGAAAAAAATTGTAACAATCCCCTTGTCCAATTATGTCGTCATTTCCATGAAATCTTTTACACTTGTGCACCTGATATGCAATTTTGTATTTTTTTCACTAGTAATAAAGTTCATTTTTCCATAAATTTTTAATGGAGTAGCAATAGTTTTTCCCTGCGGGGGTCACATGCGACATTCCTGATGATGCGCAAATCTAGCAAGGCCCCTTGCTTGCCCTAGGGAAGCCTCATGGAGTCCACAAGGGGTAGTGGGCTACCCACTTAGGGACCCTTCCCGCACTCCCTTAAAATTTTAGTCGGGATGATGAGGCAAAAAGAGTATAGCATACAATGAAAATGAAAGTTTTGAATGCTTTCTGATCATTCAATCGCGAAAGCCTGTTACAATTAAAAAATGCAAAGCTCATACTGTAAATTCTATGCGGCCTTTCTATGTAAGGAAAGTAAACGGTTCCATAATAATGGTTCTCTAGATTCAATTAATTGGTGAGAACGTGAATCTCCTGAAATGGTACACACACATCTAAATAGAGATCCTTTACCTGTACATTCTAAATCGCTCGAACGCCAAATACGTTGGAGCTAATAACACAGATAGTATAAGTGTTTTATTTGGTGAATAGATTTTTCGAAATTTTACTTCAAAATGGGCAACGAAACGTTGGCAAAGAGTAGCTAAGTATTTCTTACGTTATCGAGGACATCTGTTCCAGTGCAAGTGTAGACAGTGCTGCCGATAAATAAAGGTATAAACGTACCTGCGGACGCATTGATTTATTCTCTAATTATCCTTGACAGGTACGTTTATACCATCCTTCGTGGGCATAAGGAATAGTGCAGGGGCGGTGGGGGCGCAAACTTATTATATAAAACGAAACAATCATTGGCGTAGAAAACATTTAATATTTACCAAAAATATCATCATTAATTTTTAGCCCATTGTCGCAAGTTTCATGTATATTTTTCTTAAGATTTTCTTGTAGTTTTGTCGATTAAAAGAAAAATTGTGAAATGATTCTGGAAGTATATACTAAAACAATTGGTTCTTTGTAGCCACAACCTACGTCTATGGATATCCATAATATCTCAGAGTTGATCGAGTCCTTGCAGCAGCTGCTGGCGATATAATTGCATCTTGGGCTATTATAGTGATCCTTATCTCTCAACCAGTGTGGCAGATCTACTTGAATACGTATACGGGGCTTTCTATACGTTATAAAAGCAAGAGTCAAAACAAAACCGTCTTTTGAATATTTCCCGTTTTTGAATGAGAAACATTGGTCGGAAAACCTTTAAATCAACTTATACACAAAACGGAAAAGAAAAGGCTAGAAGCGTTCGAAATGATTATTAGATATTGAAACATTAACAGACTCGTTCAAGTCGTGCTTCGCATAATCATGTAACAGATGTCTTACCAAATATACTAAGTACTTCACTACTTATATCGCGTGGGGAAAAATGTGTCCGAATTATAGTAACGTTACAAAGCCCCTGCACCCATTTTATATAGGAATAAGAATGTAACATACACACAGTTCCACCTACTTTGTACTCCTAACACGAAATAGGAGACCCGCTGGTGTGCTTGGTCCAGGTGTTGTATAATAATAATATGAGAACTGCATTCTTGAGTTAAGAAACGTCCTTGGACGGCCTTGATGGAAAAAGCTGTCTTATACATACATGTAGTTTCAGTTGAACGAACGCAAACTCCTGTCTGTCGTTAGACCATATAAGTCTTTGACTTGACTTTTTTTTTTAAATTATTTATTTTTTATTTATGACAGAAGAAGTAGCAATTTGACACGTTCTTTTCATTACTGATCGTGAAATACATTAATCACACGTGTAAAATGCAATGTTTCGTATGCTTTAAACTCAACAAATTGAAATATGTATTTAAATATAATACAAATATTTATGGGCTAATATACTTGACACATTATTATTTTGTTTATACATACATTTGCATACCTGCACTCTGAATTATTGTTCCAGGGGACATAGAAATACTGACATATTTCTACGGACCTGTTGGTGCCCTTTTGGTAATCAATTTGGCACTGTTTGCAGCGACAGCTAGAGAACTTACATGCGGTTTATGGAAGAGGGAACTCGTTAAATCGACTACAGAAAGGTAAGAAATGTTCATGCATTCAACACGTATTCAAAGGTTTTTATTTCCATTTGGGTATGTAGATGAAATCTAAATAATTAATACTTTATCACAGGGACTTGCTGCACTGAAGCTTTTCAGGTAGTAGATGATTTCAGAAATGGAAAGCTGTATTATTGGGACAGCAACAGAAACATAAAAAAACTTCGGTCCTATTTTTCGGTCATTTTTTATGAATTTATTATTGTAGAAATTGGATTATTTTAATATGAATACCAAAAATTTTATTATAACTTGTAGTATTTATTTATATTCCGATTCAGTTAAAAAGTGGGTTAAATTACATTGTGATTGCACAAGCACCTACCCATGTACATACAAATTGCGTCAAAATAATTTCTGAAATCAATTTGCTTGGCAAGTGTTCAAGGAGGTAATGTGTACTGCAGTGCAGCAAAGGTTTACATACGAAATGATATCGTCGGTTGTTAGTAGCAGCCGGTGATAACCATGAGAGCAAAACATGTAATATCATTGGTACACCCGTGCACGCAATAATGGTAATAATGGTAAAAATCAATAAGAAAATGCGGAAAACTTGTGATCATTATTTCACTTCGCAGGTACTATTGAAAATAACATGAACGTTTGCAATTATATTTACCACATATGTACCTAATAGTAATAGGTACTCAATCTAGTACTTGAAAAAAGAAAGATATTTATAAAAAGAAGCTTTTGCTTCCTGTATAAGTTAACTAAATAATTCATCAATCCAATTTCTTACATTCACATAAATTAAAATTTGCTTGGAATGTGTCGTAGCTGATTTTTATTGTATTAAGGATTTTTATACTGCATTTAGTATCTATACACATAATAAATATCTATATAAAATTAATTTATTTGTGGATGTGTACCTTAAAAAATATTGTATCCAAAAATAGGCACGATGTCCCTCTGTATCACCGTAATTTACCTACTAGTCGGAAATCTAAAATATAACTGATATTGGAAACTTTTACAAAAATAATTCGAAGAATACACTAATGTAACACTTTTTGTCGTATTTTCTGTATTAGATAGTTAATAATGTGTTTCAAGAGAGATAAAATTCAATTTCCGAATAAACGCTTCGCGTTAATTAATAATTACAAATATGCCTTCAGCTACAAGAAACGACCAAAGACTTGTGATTAAAATGAAGATATTTGGTCTCAGTCTGTTTCATATGTATACACACATTAATAAACGTGATGAAAACGCCTCCCGTTTGAGAAAAATGCAATGTAATTAAAGGTCTGCAACATTATTATCTGATGATGTCGACGAAGGAAGTGTGTTAAATTCCCTTGAGCTGACCCTTTCTAATTACTGGAAACATCAAACGGTCAAGATAACAGAGTGTACAGAGGTTCATGAACCCGAGTCCTTGCAAAATTATTGTTAAATTCTCATTTATTTAAACGATAGAACATCCCAAGATGCAACGAACATTAATTGGCCCAATCATGTAACAAAGCCGACAACAAAAGTGCTTGTAATATGTTCTTGTAATTATTTTATTTAAACTAAAACGCTTAATTGTTGGTTTAACACTGTCATCATCATCATTATCATGCGGTTGTTAGTGCGAAGACTGGTTCATCTTAAGCTAACGTTTGCTTTTCCCGATGTCTATCCACAATTCCCGCATTCGAATCTCGAGTTGGAGACAAAATTGAATTGGAGAAATGGAGTTAAGTTTTGAAAAAAACTGACATGGAATTTTTATGAAAATTGTTTTCTATTTAAAAATAAATTTTAGGTTCTGACTATTGTGAAACGTTGGTGCGGTTGTCAGTGCCAAGACTCGTCCTATCCTGAGCTAACCTTCGCCTTTTCCGAAATCTATCGGCTTATCTGGCGTTTGTCTTTTTGCTAACCCTTGCATAGAATTATTTTTGGAAGGTTTTCCTGCCCTGTCACTAAACTTAACACATTTTCTATGTCTGCATACACCGCTTCTACGTTTTCATCACTGTAAGATGATGTAGGCATGTAGACCTGTACTAACACCGTCTTTACCGGCTTCGAGTTTAATTTAACCATCACTATCCTATCGCTTTTTTGTAAATAACTTTCTTCACTCTGCCCTGCATTCCTACGCATTTCAATTCCTACCCCCGAATTACCTTCCAACGATCCTGTGTGTATTATTCTAAAGTCTCCACTCCAGAAGTTTCCGGCTTCATATTTTAGGGAAATGCGAAGACTAGCTCAGGATCGGAAAGAGTGGAGGTGCGTGTCCAACCAGTCTTAGGACTGACGACCTTATGATGATGTTTTGGTATATGCATTTAATTCGTTGTAGCTTTTTTAGACTTATTACGTAGACTTTATCAAAAACAGAAGGAGTGAGATAAGTCGCTGATAAAATGTACGATAATTTTAGAATATAAAAGGAATTTCAAAGCGGCTTCATTAAGCATTCAAAAATTTACCTGTGGTACGTGCTTCTTCATTTGGATATCGGCTGAATTTGAATGCGCGTCTCAAAGAAGTTCGCCATAAAATTTGCAAAAATTTATTTAAACAATTTCCTCGGATCATTTACATATTTACATGTACATGCATTACTTACAACGCAGAAGCACGATATTTAAAGTATTCAATTAGCTTTTTGATTGATTTGTTAATGTTGTTTGGATCGGGGTCTAATTTATTACAATTAAGTTGTTGTAAATTATAAATGCAAATATTTGCAAAATGCGTAATGGCATGCCGTAATTATTTTTATGTTAATACCATTATAATTATCTCAATTATCAATATTGTTTTCAATTGAAATTTTTCTACAACCGTTCCTGATGATTTCAGAGAGGCCATATTTTGTTAAGTACATTTAATATTTTTATTAGTTAGTTGTTACGATAACTAGCCTCTGGATGATTGTTCTTTGTCTTATCTACAACCACTCTTTTATTCTTTCTTTTTTGTGTTTGCAATCAGAAATTTATTTTACAGTAATTTACTTGCTTCTAGTAAAACTACTTTTGCTTATTTGCTAATGCAATTTAGATGACTCAGCGTTTAGCCATTCGCTTTATTCAAACTAATCAATCGTGAAATGCCTGGAATTACTTGGAGATCAAAGTAGGTTCCTACCTATTTCGAATAAAAGTAAAAAAGAACGAATAAATTAACATCTGAGCGTCTTTAGAAGAAATGACGTTGCATTTGACGATTCACGCTTAATTTAAATGCTTCATTTGCAAGTCATTCTCAATTATCATCAGTTTTTCAAATGCTTCATAATTAGTGTCTTTTTCATATATTTATGAATTTATAATGAGAGAAGAAAGAGTAAAGTTTGAAAAAGTGTTTTCTTCATATTACTGTATCAATTATTGCATCTTCTACTATGTTATGATAAAGATAATAGAAACAGGGAGACTGTGGTAAATTAATAAATAAATAAAATAGGAGACCCATCCCAATTACCACTAACACAATTTTACTGAGCGAACACGTGTTTCGCCCACTTCAAACGTAGGCATTATCAACGCGAGACTGGTTCTCTGATTTCCTTCCCAACCCTTCTTCTAGTTCCACTATCTTTTCTTTTCGGTCCTCACCCTCCGTCCCTATAAATAGGAGTAAATTTTAAATTTTAGAACCCCCGCTCGAGGAGGGGTTTTAGTCGGTAAGAATCCGACGCTACCTCCCTTCAGGGGGTGTCTTTTGAAGATTTCCCCTTCTCGAGTATAATCTAATAAAAAAAAAAGAAAATTTTAGAACCAGTCTTGCGATGATAATGGCCACGTTTGAAGTGGGCGAAACACGTGTCCGCTCAGTAAAATTGTGTTAGTGGTAATTGGGGCAAGTCTCCTATTTATTTACATAGAGATACTTTAATTTTCGGTTTATTTTTTGTTCGCCATTCGGAAATCTTTTGAGAACTTTTGGTAGGTTTTTGCTGTTGTGAAGAGAAATTTTGGAAGGGACTGTGATAGTGGTGTAGCAAAGGGGGTCCAGATTAGGGTTCCCTAATACCATGAAAATTGCGCATACTGGACACCGCGTAAAAGCTGAAAGGATCTGATCCTCGAAATAGCACAAGAAAAAGATATTGACTCAGATGAGAGCTTATTAACGGATTTACACTCGGTCCCATTAAATTTTGCTAGTTTGCTACGCAACGGGATTGAGGTAACCGAAATAAAAATCAGGGCCGGACTCAGAGTTAGCGTCAAACCTAGTCCAGTTTGATAGCAAGAAATGATGAGATGGACCATTGCGTTTGCAGAGGTAAATTGTTGTTTCTTTTGTTTCAGAGCCGCTCTGGGACGTGTTTGTATGAAGTTGGTGGTTGTAATGGGCGTAACGTGGATAGCCGACGTGCTATCATGGGCTGTCGGTGGCCCTCAGGAGCTATGGTACATTACTGATATCATCAATACTTTGCAAGGCGTATTCATCTTCATCGTCGTTGGATGTCAACCGCAGGTACAAGAAGAACTATCACTTCTAATCTCCGTTTCTTCTTTTACACGTTCGATTGCACACGGGCCCCGTTCGTTCGTTCGTACAAATGATTTATTTGCGTTCGATATATACCATTGTTACAACTATTATTGTCGCTATTCACTTCAATGAATTTCAATAATGGAATACGTTGCTGGTACAACCGCACGCAAAAAATACGGTATTGTGTCCAGATCGCCTTAGCTAAATACCAAGTACCTACGGAGTGTAAAAAACGGCAGTAATTGTTCGTACGAATTTTTAATAACATTCCATTCAAAGAATCTGTTCGTTGTGAAGATGGAAGTACTTTTCGTTCACAGAATAAATTGAAAATTCATTTGAAAACGAAACGAAATCAAAGTCAAACTTCCGTAACTCGAACATCCTAAATATAACCAATTATGTTCAAGTTAAAGAAAATGCTAATGAAGGAGAATTATTGCATTATAAACTAGGCCAACCGCCAATAACTGTTGCAAGTTCGTAATTTATGTTAGACAACTTCGTTCGTGTTGCCTTTTCCTTGTGATCTTAATCTGAGCCCAGAGTTAAAATAATATTTATTCAACGGTACTGTAAAAATTTATGATTTATATAATAGTTCCGCTTAAAACAGTCTTTGATTACTAACTTATCGTTGCGGTTGATTTTTCCGAAGAAAATTAACAAAAATTCGAGTTAAAAAAACGTATCTCGAGTTGGAGAAAAATTCGAATTAGAGAAATGGAGATATTTGAGTTTATTTTTGAAAAAACTCGATGTGGAATATTTGGGAAAATTGTTTTTTATTTTAAATAAATTTTAGGTTCTGACTGCCGTGAAACGTTGGTGGTGTTGGAGGAAACATCACGTTAATGGAACGGCTGGTACAACAAACCACCATTCGTCCAGTTCCCAAGGATTACCGTCCATGGGCGACACCGTGACCAACCATAGTGTTTCGCAAAATACAAAATCGGTACCGTTAGAAACCAGCTGCTAAACCATTTTTGTTTATACTTTTATAGTATATTAGCATTAGTACTGATTAATATAAATATTTATACAGCTTCAAGTGCAAAATGAAAGAAACAGAACAACGAAAACAATAAACACATTGTTAACGAATTAGTGTTAAGCTTAATCTGTAAGCTCATAATTTATGGTTCTAACTGTACAGTTTTATTTTGGCTTAAAATTTTGTAGGTAAATAGGGACAAAAACAATTATTATTTTTCTCTTTTTCATCAAAATTGTAAGTCAGAAACGTATTTTATTTCTTGTATTATTTATAATATGTTTTTTGTTGACATATGTTTTTAAAAATAACGAGACTTTGGTCCTCTAGTAAGTAACGAAGTGAAAATGAAAATGTTTTTAAAAAAATTCACCTACGATTTTGAAAGCAAGCTTAACACATTCGACTAATGAGGTTAATTGACGTAATAATAAATATGTAATGTACAAATGATAATTATTATATCCACTATTACAATATATGTGAGGAATGCGTTTTTGTATGGTAATTGCTAGTCACATTTATGATATCGAATAATTCGTAACAAAAAAAAATTGTATCACTATATTTCCTTTTTGTACGTAAGTATTTTTAATGTTAGGGTAGTAGTTGGGGGGTGTGAAGCTGTTGTGTTCTCTTTTTCACAAAAACTGATTAAACTCGTTCTTGAGACTGACGGTTTAGATTTTATTTTATTTTATTTTAAAAGAAGAAAAGTTTTAGATTATGTTCCTTATTCATTGTTACCATTTCGCCTTTGTAAATATGTATTTTCTTTACGTTCATTATTCATCATTAATCATCAGTTGTTTAGTACTTCACATGTTATTTGTTTTCTTAATTTTCGAATTTCTGTCTTTGTTAATTTTGTTAAGCAAATGTAAAAGCGGCCAAATCTGTGTAAATGTTTGTCTGTATGCATGTTCGGTATTATTTTGATGCCTTTGTAATCCAGTATTAGTGTTTAGTGTATGCCTTTTTGTGTGATCTGCCTACCTAATGTATATTTTATACGTTTTCGAGAAGAAATTGATGTGGCAATTTTGTCTGTACATTGTTTTTCGATATATCGTACATAAATACATACATATGTATATGTAAAAAATGCGTACTAAGTTTAAGTTGTTTTAAAAGCCATAAGTAGGTTTTTAATCTAGTTTATAAATTTTTTATGTTATGCATTTTGTTGTGTTGTTCTCTCACTATTTATGACTGTCAATGTATCTTTTAATAAACAATAATCGATGTTTTTTAAACTGTTGTGGTTTATTTTAATAGTTACTTTTAAAACATAACACGTATATGAAATTAGTTAATATGAATCGAGAAAATTTATCGTTTAAAATTTTCGATTCCCAGTAGTTTCCATAAGAATATTTTTATGAAAAATAACCGTCTAACATTTGTGACCCTTTATAAGGATTCCAGTTTCCTTAAAAAAGGAGATTAATTGCATATTTTGAAGATATTTAGAAATTACTTTTAAAATTTCAAATTCATGAAAAATATTTTATCATTTTATAACTTTCAAAAATACGCTTAAGATTATTTCAGAGTTTCTGTTTTATAAGTTTTGGCATATATATATATTACCAGGTTTTAAATCCTAAATACGTGATGAATATCAACGAAAACCATATAAAACTAATTTTTCGGGAACAGCATGTTTTTTTAGATAAAAAGTACCCTATGTCCTTTTCTGTACCCCTCTACAAAATTTTATGATGATCGGTTTAGCAGTTAAGACATAAAATGATCATAAACAAACAAATCACATTCGTATTTATAGTATTAGTTAAGATTTACAATAAAGTCCAAGAGAATACACAATTAATTTTTAGTCTTCCAAACAATTATTTTAAAATTAATTAAACGATTAGAGCTTTTCGATAATTTCATAAAATATTCAAAATCATCAGAGAGCGCGTTTGATGAGTATAGAAAGCTAATATTAATTTTAATGTCTGGGCAAATTGAGTTTTAATTTTTGTATAGATGACGCTAAAAAAATAGCCAAAAACTAAAATGAAAACTAACATTTTTGAAAGAAAACTAACCGACCTTAAGCACCACATTCAACTACTCGCCCAGGCAGGGCCTCACTTAAACGCTGAAAAACTGTAAGCAGAAAGCAAAGCTGAATCACTTACCACGAGATGGCTGCTCGATGAAGTTAATCTGAAACAAAAGAAAATTTTATTTAATCGTAAGGTTTACATAAGTTAAACGTTAAAATTTATGTTTTAGTCGTTTTAAGGATCAACTCCTATAGTTGCAGTTATCCTTACAAATTTCTTTTTTTTTGTTTTCTACGAAAACTTAAGATTTCCTTCATAAAAAGTAATGACATTAATATTGTTATAAATTATTGATTATTATATGTTAGTCTAGTTATTGTATGAACCTAGTATCTTCCAATTATTCAA